CCTATACCTCCCCTCCCCTACTTTTCTAAAACGCTAAGATCTTCCACCAAAATATTCAAGAATTCCCTATTTAGGCAGCTAATCTTGGATTTAACTTTACAGCTATTCTGTGAGGTCCCTCAATGTAAGGAACACATTTTTCTCCTTTTCTTTTTTTAGGGAGGATGAATTTTTTTTTTTTCAGCTCTATTGAGGTATAATGGACAAATCAAATTGTAATATATTTGAAGTGTACAACATGAGTTCATTAACATATCTGTCATCTCACATTTGTATCTTTTTGTGTGTGTGTGAGAACATTTAAGTTCTACTTCTTTAGAAAATTTCAATTGTACAATAGAGTGTTATCAACTGTAGTCACCAATTATACATTAGAGCCTCAGAATTTATTCATTTTACAACTGAAAGTTTGTACCCTTTTACCAATCTCTCCCAATTACTCCTTTATCTTACTGCCCCGTCCCCCATTCCCAGTTCCTGGCAACCAATATTCTTAAAAATAACCTTCTTTCATTTTTTCCTGTTACAAATCTATGTTTTGATCGTTAATGTGATTTTCCCTATCAGAATCCTTAAATGCCCTGGAAGACCAAGATTTAGATGCGCTCATGGCCGATCTAGTAGCCGACATAAGTGAAGCTGAGCAGAGGACAATCCAGGCACAGAAAAAGTCTTCTCAGGATCAACAACTTCCAGCACCTCTGGAAGGATCAGATTTCAGTGGTGCAGCCTCTCTTGGTTATGGAGCAAATGCTGCTGAAACTAATATTAGCCCGTATGAGGATGATTTACCACCTCCACCAGCTGATCCTGTGTTAGACCTTCCTCTGCCACCGCCACCTCCTGAACCTCTCTCTCAGGTAAGTGGGTGGGGCCAGAGATGGCAGGACCCTTGACCTCTGTTGCTCATCATCTTTGACTTTCTTCAGAGTGAGAGTTACATTCATAAGTGTGGACTCTCAAAGCTCTGAGATATTAAAAACCAAGGATACTGAGTATGTTCATTGCAAAGGCAGAGTCCTCCAAAAACAAGATGCATAAGTGTATATAAAGAATATATTAGGGCCATATCGGGGAAATATTATTGCTTAGCTAAAATCTATATTTGTATGCACACCCTGATAATACTCAGCTTTAGGAGGGTAATGTTTTATCAACTCAATATGAACTGTGGAACTGATTTATACATGTCTGTGTCCGTGGTCCTAGCCCAGTACATGAAGAGTAGAAGGCATTCCTTACATATTTCTGAGTTGAACTAAGTGGAATTTTGCTGAATTTGGCAGCTTTGTTCAATAAGGCAAAAATGTATCACTCGTAACATCATAGTTGGACCGGGGTGTTGCGGGGCAGGTCATTATTTGGGATGTTAACTTACAGGATGTATCTCATAAAAGTAAAAAGAGAACTTTCAGATTTTTCTTAGAGTAAGCCACTTTAAAATATTTTAGAATAAGAACCTAGCTCCATTTCCTGTGGCCTCCATGTTTGTTGTACTGTGTGATGATGGTCATTATCCATAAACATGCCCTTAACAACCGTGGAAGTTCCCACAATGCCTGTTGAATGAACAGGTATTAAATATAAATCAAATATTAAATTGTACTCATTGCTCTATTGTGTATTTATTTTCAAAAGGTTATTTGAAAATTGGTGACCCATATAGAGAAGAGGGTCTTTATTTTCCGGCCCTGACTGAGCTATAATTGCCATATAATATTGTGTAAGTTTAAGGTGTACAGCATGATGATTTGATATACATATATTGTGAAATGATTATCGTGATAAGGTTGATTAACAACCCCATTACCTCACATAATTACCTTTTTTATGTGCATATGGTGAAAACATCAAAGATCCACTCTTTTAGCAACTTTCATGCATATAATACGGTATTGCTAGCTAGAGTCACCCTGCTATACATTAGGTCCCCAGAACTTATTCTCCATATAACTGAAAGTTTGTACCCATCGACCAATATCTCCCCACTTCCTTCACCCCACAAGCCCTGGCAACCACTATTCTACTCGCTGTTTCTATGAATTTAGCTTTTTTAGATTTTATATATAAGTGAGATCATACAGTATTTGTCTTTCTGTGTCTGACTTATTTCACGTAACATAACGCCCTCAGGGTTTATCCCTGTTGTCACAAATGGCAGGATTTCCTCCTTTCTCGTGACTGAGTAATGTTCCATTGGATATATATGTACCACATTTTCTCTATCCATTCATCCATCAGTGGACACTTAGATTGTTTCCATGTCTTGGCTGTTGTGCCTAATGCTACAATGAATACGGGGGGTGCAGATCGCATCAAAATAGCGATGTTATTTCCTTTGGATATATACCCAGCAGTCGGATTGCTGGATCTTTTGGTAGTTCTGGCTTTAATTTTTTTGAGGAACTTCCATATTGTTTTCCATAGTGGCTGCAACAATTTACATTCCCACCAACAGTGCACAAGGGTCCCCTTTACTTCACTTCCTTGCCAACACTAATTATCTTGTGTTTTGTTTTTTGGTTTTTGGTTTTGGTTTTTGTTTTTGGTAACAGCCATTCTAATGAGCAGAAGCTCTTAATGTAGGGTTTGTGAAGATTTTAGAGAGGGCATGATTTCTTTGTGGCTCAAAAAAAATTTAAGAACCACTGGCATACGAAGATGCATGTCTACTTTTAAGTAATTAGAACATAACCAGAACAGCTCGTTTCCTCATCCTTATAAATATAGGTAGGAGAGCCTTGATAATCCTATTCTCAGAATAAGAAAATCAAAAAGTTTAGGGCTCATACAAAATTTAACTCTTTTCTCTGCCTGCTCGTGTGTGCTTATTGGTGTTTCTTGATGGATTACAAGTTCAAGTTTGAGGGTCTCAACTTTTGGAGAGTTGTGGTCCCCTTTAGGAATCTAATGATAAGTAGGAGTCCCACAAAATGCCTACTGATCCAAAAAAATGCATAGAATTTCAGGAAGTGCTCAAATTGTTTGAGATCTGCCTGTAGATTCCTCATGTCAGACTCCAGTTTTGAGACAAGCAGAGATTTTTGTTGACTCAATATGTGAAGCGCTGTTAGCATTATCGTTTCATCTTTTAAGTTACTAATCTTAAGATATAAAGGGTGACTGACTGCCTTCTGTATCTCTGGGTTGAAGATTTTTGTTACAGTCACTTAAATTCTCAAAATCGGTCATGTGGAATCTGGTGTCCTATAACACCGTGTTTTGCTACAGCAAAGTAACTAAGACACTAGTGATGACATGGTAGTATCTTTTTTTTTTTTTTTTTTTTTCTGCCTGGCTTTTTTTTATCACTTTATCTCAATTAGT